ACACACACACACACACACACACACACACACACACACACACGGTCCTGGCAGCTTTTACAACTCCTTGTATATTGCTGGGTCTGGTTTTGGCAGGTGAGCTCAAGGACTCTTTGAAAGATTTAATAGACGAGGCCGAGCGTGCACGAGGCTCTCCCTCTTGTTTCGTATTCAGCCCAGCTGATGAGGGAAGGTGAGCGGCCACACTGAGGTGCTTTGCTGCTTGAGGTGAGGGGCGGCAACGGGTTCTCGTGCCTCCATATGTCTTCCCCGACGGCGCTGCAGCTCCCAGCGCGTTAACCCGACTGCAGCCTGTTGTAAATACTTGTCCCAAAGTGTGCAGAGACAACATCAGATTCCACAAACGCCAACGGACATGAAGGCATTTCCCTTTTTCATCAAGTGCTATCACTGCTGCAATGACGACCGTGTGGAGATACAGGGGGGGGGGGGCGCATTAAAACAAGCGCCCTGTTTTTATCTTCAGGCAGGATGAAATATGAACCATTAAGTGACATGAAATACTGCTTAGTTGTTTTTGTCATTTAGTAAATCCATGTATTGTATTCTCTTCAACTCAACTAATCTCTTTAGTAAGAACAATACTCTGCATCTCAAGAGTTTGGAGGGTCGGTGGCTTTTTTAATCACTTTATGAAAAAACAACGCAAAACAAAAACACATTAGCAAGGAAAGTTAGGCAATAAATACAGATTAGTATGTATTTAATGTTAATCAAAGGCTTTTACGAGGACACGTTGGTGTTTTCAACAGCTGCCCGCACTACGAGAGAGCCACCAGTTAACACGGTCTCTGGTTGAACCATAATACCGGCTATGGCTACAAGCTATTAAATGTGTTGACCACCGCTGGACCGCTTGTAGCTCCCTTTAAAAAACCCTTTGTCATGGTGTTTGACGTTCTGTTCATGAACACGTTACATGCTAGGTTACTCCTACACATACATGCATATCTGTTGCTTACAAACTGTCAAAGGCTCTCTACTGATCTTAGCTATTGTGTAGCAAATGAAAACATGAACCCTTAGGTTATTTCAGATGAGAAGAGTGTTTTTTGAACCCTGCCACCTGTTTCCCTTGCCTGTGTGTGTGTGTGTGTTCGGGTGTGAGTGTATTTAGATAGTGTGTCAGGAAGTGCATGTTTGCATTGGACAGTGTGTGTGTGTGTGTGTGTGTGTGTGTTTGCTGAAGCTTCCTTATCTTAAAGGCAGAGGTTGGTCTCGGTCACGTCAAGTTCACCCCTCTGTACTCCTCTTCCTGCTCCCACACACTCACCCACAGAGTGGACTGCCAGAGAGAGAGAGAGAGAGAGAAAATGCTCAAATAATAAAAAGGTTTTTTAAGCTCTACGTCTGCAAGAGGAAATAATAAAGGTGTTAATAACATGTGAAAGAGATGAGATAACTCTTAATTGATCCCCAGGAAATGAGGTGTTACAGCAGCAGAAGAAGAAACAAAATATGATAGTGGTGACAACTGCACTTACAGTATATCGAAAATCAGTGACGTCTCTATTCAGATACAAAAAGTAAACTGCAAGTAGAGAAAATGTACAACAGACTGAAGTAAAAAGCTTTAGTGTTGTGTGTTTACTGTGCAATAATGAGATATGTGTGCTCCGACTGCCAATACAAATTGACCAGCAGTAGTTAAAGTACTTGTGTACAAAGAGTATAGTATGAAGTATAATAGGACGGTATAGGGTGACACGAGACATATATTACAGAGTGTATAGCGCTTTAGCTCTGCACTGTATGATATTAATATAATAATGCGCAATACCATATATAATAATACGTGATAACTGAAAAGGGCATCAACTGCTGGAGTAGCAGACCCACAGAGCTCACCACATAGCAGCCTGTCTTTACAAAAATGAAGCGGGCTGTGAGGGCCTGAGGGCTCGAACGCCCGGTGTGCACCCTGGACCTCCCGGACCGCCAGCAGAGAGACTATAGAGACACCGGGTTCTCCGCTCGGCTCCTTTGAGTGTGCCGTGTTTTCACCACAGACATTTCTTCTGCATTGACTTCATCAAATTGTAAAGATGCGTTTTATCGAATATGTTTTCTAACCTAAAGAGAGAAAGAGACCAGAAGAAGCACATCAAGACTTGTTGAATTACATACGGATCCTCTGCTTTTACTTCCAACATTTGATCTTTTATTTCATCTTTCTTTTTTTTTGGCAAATGAGCTTTCTGAAGAACTTTTTTGCTGCTGTCAGAAGAACTTTTGAAGTAAAAGCTTAACCTTCAGAGGTGCTACTTCATCAGAGGCCTTCTATATGTAGCGGCTGACAGTAGTCATCTAGTGCCGTAATTGATCCCAATGATCATGATGATGGATGAGAGGCCGTCGGGCTCTGTCAGACTCAGCTCAGCCTCTGTCAGTGATTGATTGATCAGATGTTACTGCATTAATCTGCTCTAATGGTGGAGGATGGTATCACCCAACTGGGCTCTGTGTCGCTAACGTCCATTCCTCTCATCGGTGGGCTCTATTACATGCAGTCCTGTTGTAGTAGTGCAGACAGAGCAGGATACTCAGGGAGGAGAGCGGAAACGGTAAATCAAGGAAGGTCTGGGAGGCTCTTTGTAATTCCTTTTCATTGGACCATGGGGACACTTTGTTTGTGTGGGACGTACATACAACATAATAAACCCTTTGTCTGTCAATTAATATCATGTAATACACACAGTCACACACCTTTACATTCCTGTACTGATTCAGTGCGTGAATAGACACATCAATACATAGTTTGAGATAGATATACTATACACAGTATAGAATAATATTCTTCTCTGATATGGATAAACAAACAATATAATTTTCTGTTAAAGAAAAGCCATAAAAACGGCAATTGGTGCATCTCTGGCCTCCGATCAACATGGTAGGCAAACGTGCGTGAGCACACGTGCACACTCAGATAAACGCCCTGCTGCATCCCCCCGCACCCCACCCACCCGTGGGGAGCGTGTCCATGTGTCGGCCTATCTGGTGTCTCAGACTACCCGATGTGCAAGCGCTTGGCTTGTGTGTGCGCGTCATATTAGGTTTCCACATAACAGGTGGGATGGACTTTTGCGTCATCTGTGAATGGGTTCGATTTCACATTTTCTCCCTAAAGTCTGTCATTACACCCCTCCACACACGCTCCCAGAAGACAGTGTGGTAGAGTAGGTCTCGCAGTGAGACGGGTGTCCGTCTGAGTACCAGGGCAAACCTCATGATTACAGAAGGAGAAAGACAGTTTCAGTCACTTTCCATCATTTCTATTTGCATTTTCTTGTCATAATTCACTTCTAGATCATAAACGTCTGTGTAGAGTGAACTGTCTGGGTATAAAGGCCTATTGTGTACACTTTCTGTCTTTGGGTAAATCTTTATGAATTTGATTCTGTCAATATGTCGATATGAATCTAGTGAGCCTTGATTTAGGAATACTCAGTATCTGTAACAGATTCCTGTATGTTTTTCTTCCTGTCTCCAGTCATGGCTGAGGATGTACGGGTACCTGCCCCAGGCCAGCAGACAGATGTCCACCATGCGATCGGCTCAGATCCTATCCTATGCCATCAGCGACATGCAGCGGTTCTACAGCCTGGAGGTCACTGGACAGATGGACCCTCAAACCATCAGGTCAAGCACGGATTAAAGACTTACACCCACTCATAAGAAGAAAAAACATTATGGACCACTGTCCTGCAACACATTTTAGGCCCCAAACTGTAGTTCAATTGGTAGTTTTGCAGAGCCACTGAAATGTTTTTAATAGGATGGTTTGACCTAGAATTTGTCAACATGGACTTGTAACTAGGACAGGATGAGTTCCTTTTGAGGAACAGGATCTGTGAGCTGGCTGCACTAGGGGGCTTTAAATTAAACAACACAAAGAACACAGACATCAAGAGGAGAAAGTGGAGGTTTTTACATGGTGTTCCCCTTCATCTCCTCTCCTTCCTGCTGCTGACTTCCTTTTAACTCCTTCAGTGCCATGAAGAGACCCCGCTGCGGCGTGCCCGACAAGTTTGGAGGCCAGATCAAAACCAACGTGCGGCGGAAGCGCTTTGCCCTCACGGGACATAAATGGAACAAAGGCCACCTCACTTACAGGTAACAGAAAGACCGTTTGCTAGTCTTACTAGTTGTAGGAGGCTACTGTAAAAAAATTAAGTTGGGATTTGAATGAATTCAGCTTTTATGTTTTTCATTTCCTTTGTTGCCCATGAATCCACAAAGTGATATGCTTTTCCCTCTTCCCTCATTTGTTCCCGTAGCATCCAGAATTACACTCCCAAGATCGGAGAGTACAACTCATACGAAGCCATCCGTCGGGCGTTCAAAGTCTGGGAGACGGTGACCCCATTGACCTTTGAGGAGATTCCCTACCAGGAGATCAAATACGGACGCCGCAAGGAGCCCGACATCATGATCTTCTTCGCTTCGGGCTTCCATGGAGACAGCTCTCCTTTTGATGGGGAGGGAGGCTTCCTGGCGCACGCATACTTCCCGGGACCCGGAATGGGCGGGGACACCCACTTTGACTCGGATGAACCGTGGACCATAGGAAACCACAACATACAAGGTAAATGCTCACCGCCGGAAGAATAGGGAACGTCTGTTGCATTGCGGATTTTAGGGACAGTGGTGGTTTTCTTTAGTCACGGCCAAATGCTACAAAGGAAAATAACTGAAAGCAGAATTAACAAGTGGGAAGGAAATGTCGTTCCAAACATGCTAATCGAAAACAAACACCTTTCTAGGAGAGGTCTTTAGGAACAGAAACGCCGTCTTCAGGTGGGTGGAGGTTTTGATGCACAAGTTGACAGCTTGCAGTGTTGAGAAGCTTTTTCTTTAGGTCTTTAGGGATGTCGGTGGTTATTTAGGCCTTCGGCCATTCCAGCTGATGAGCAGTTTGCAGCCCTGTGTCGTGTCATGTATCGGTTGTAATGGATCTGTATAGCTGATTGCAAACAGCTGTCCCCATCGCTTTGCTCCGCCCCTAACTAGAGTTGGCACGGCTCAGCTAGCTACATCATCTCTCATTTGTCAGGCTCCGGCTGCTCCATTTACCTCTGTGCAGGTTCAAAGCCGACCTCTTTGTAGTCCTCTGACTTACCTAATCCATTACCTCTGTGATCCCTCTGTACGAGCAGCGCCAGGCACGTGTTTGGACTTTTGTTCTTTTGAGGACTTCAGTTTGCTGAAATCATTGCCCAAACCCATCCGAACACTTTCTTTAATATGAACCCCAAACCCAACTAGAAAATTCCTAAAGAAATTTTGACAGTGTGGCTTCTACTGCCCGAAGAAATCGCAATATATACACACGCCAATGTTACCGGTAGTGTCATTCAGGTTCAATTGAGATAGCGCTACTCTCTTTTCTGCATTTTAGATTCATACTCTTGGATTGAAACTTGTATTTGTGGGGCTTTTATTTTGAAAGGGTGGGACTGGGTGGGTGAGAGAGGGGGAGAGGAGACAGAATCATAATGTTTGACACTAAAATGAGAGGCTTCATCACAAGCATTCCAGTTAGAATTCATTCTGTGGGGCTTTTAATTTGAAATGGGGGGAGGGGGGGGAAAAGTCCTCTAAAAATATCTAAGACCTGAATGACAGAGAGAGAGAGGGGGAGGGAGGGAGAGAGACTCCTCTGTTTTATCTTTTACAGCTTACATAACTATTGTCCTGCTCTGCCATGTCTTTCCTCGTCTCTCCCTCTTGTGTCGCGGTGCGGCGAATCAGGAAACTTATCAGAATACCCATATTTGATTGGCTGAGCTGCATCACGTATATCTCTAAATCATGTGTGTGCAGCTTTTATTTTAAAATGGGGGGGGGGTCCTCTAAAAGTCTCCAAGACCTGAATGACTCACACACAGAGAGAGAGAGACAGACAGAGAGATAGAGGGAGAGGAGTGTATGTGCGTGTGTGTCTCAGTGCCTCTGTGTGTTTATCAACATCACTAATGAGCTCATATAAACACCTGTGTGCTTGGGTGCATGTTGGTGATTGGAGCACCTGTGTGTTAGAGGCTAATTAAGAGAGAGTGAACAGTGATTTTCAACAAAACTACCTGTCAAACATATGCCCTTCATACCAAAACCATGAGACTAATCAATAGAATATGGATACCGTGAGAGAGATAAGACTCTGGCAAATGCGGAGATGTGTTTTTTATGTTTGTGGTGTTAAAATGTGAGCTCCAGCGCAATGTGCAAAACTGGTACCGTCTGCTTTCTTTGAGAAATGAGTGGTCAGATTTAACATGGAGTCTAATGGAGCAGTTGGTTGGAGTTCATGTCGCTCTGTGGCTCTTTGAGCCAAATGTGTAAATCTGTGGGATTCCACAGACATCTGTGTGCGACAGCACAACATTTCCAAGCTTTTTGGCCAAAAATGGTGTATATAGAGTAAAAATTGTGGGAGCTAGAGCAATTTGTTTGGAAGAATCACAGAATATTTTCCTGCTCCGCTCCACTCTGACAGTTATGCTCTCACTCTAGCTCTTAACGAGCTGCGCAATACACACCCATTATAAAACCTGAAACTTAATCTGCGACTTCATAAAAACTGTGCTAGCTATCAAAATGTCCCTTTAGCTCAATAAAGTGCAGCATTGTGTCTACGTTTTAAACTTTGAATCATGTTTCTACGTTAATGTACGGCTAGTCAATATGTGCCCAAAGTTAAGTGTTTTTTTAGCTGTCTTCACGCCGAAACCCCATTCAAGTGAATGAAGAAATTTTGCTCAGTTTTTGGGGATTTTCGGGAATTTTCAGGAAAACCGCAAGCGAATCTCTCCGGAAAATAGATAGCACACTATTCCCGATCAGGCCGCACGTTGATGTATTTTTCACGCCGCTGTTGGCAACGCTGTGTGAGGAGAAGCGCGCCAAACTTCATTTTGCTCAGTTTTTCGGGGTTTTCCGTGATTTTCGGGAAAACCGCTGGGCGAATCTCTCTGAAAAATAGTTTCCGCGCTATTCCCGATCAGGCCGCACCTTTTGATGTATTTTTCACGCCGCTGTTGGCAACGCTGTGTGAGGAGAGGCGCGCCAAACTTTTGGATAAACCTGATTGTTATTATTATGGGTAAGCCCGATGGATAATATACAGTGTGCTTTGGCACAGGAACTGCCTTGTGCCACAAAGCCACACTGAATTACAACTCTTAACACCAATGTCAAGCACTAAGCTCATCATATGCAGCAGTGAGAATTAAGACAAGTCTTCAGAGTTCCTCCTCTTTCTGTGCACCCATTAACCCTGCTGAGGGATTTTCTTTTTCTCGCAACAATGGGCTTTCTTGCCCTGTTATCTCCATACACACAACAGCCACAGACAGACAGATACACTGTGTGTGTGTGTGTGTGTGTGTGTGTGTGTATCTCTGTGATCAGCTGTGTGTGGGATGTGCAGCAGGACAGATCACAGGGACGGAGGAATGCCACAGTAAGTGGGAGTGTGTTCCACTCTTTAGACCGGTCCCTTTGTTGCACCGCGCTGCTTAAAAGCAAAGCAGAAGCAAATTACAATCCTGTCTGACTTGAGTTGGACTCACGTCTAATTAATCAAATTTTTCACAGATGAAGTCCTCATTCAACTTCAGCGTTCCTACTATCTTCGTATCGCACAAATGCTAAATCCGGTGGTGAAATTTGAATTTTGTCTTTATTTTTTTCTGCTGGCGAAACTCATGCAGATTGATCCACCTGATTGGGTGACCGTGTCTTTTGTGTTGTATAGCATCCAGACCAATCGAGCTTCATTCAGCAGATCTGTTTTTGGCTATTATCAATCAAAACAGCAACCAGTCTATGGTTCTAGTTCGTCAAATGTAAAGATGTTCTGCTTCTGAATATTGTTAGGTTTTACACTGTTAGTCGAACAAAATAAACAATTTGAATATATCAGTCGGACAAATAACCAATTTACTGAGCTCCAGTACCGCAGTACTGACGCAGATGTTTCAGGAGAATTCCTCCAGAACCACTGTTCATATGCTGGGGCAAACAAAAGTAAAGGAGATTGTATCTTAACCTCGCATGAAACAGTATAATTGTTTAAAATGAGAAGTCGTCTGCCCTGCCCAGAATCGTGACCTCTGACCTCCTTTTAGGCAGGGTCAAACAGAGACAGGCTTTGGCTTAGGGATCTATAGCTACACATAAAAAATGAATGCGACGTCAGTTGGCGGTAAAAGCACAAATACCTTTCATCCGTTCTTTGCAGCCGTGGTTGCTTCTCTTCCCCTTGAGCTCAGTCTCATTCGTCAGCGAAGAACAGTTCTGTTGGTGTAAACCTTGTGACGCACAGTGCCATTAACCAGCCTTCTTTTCACACGGAGGCTCTAACAAAAAACAGCTTTTTGCTCTTTTCATCTCCCTAAAACACACCTCACTCAGATATAAAGGTCAGAGTCTTTCATTGTTTGTGGTCAGATGAGACTAATGTGAGTAACTCACTGGCAGAGAGACTGTGGTTGTCGTGGCGCCGCTTTAGTGTGCGTGTCCTTTGCAGGGAGGTGTGAGATGTGGTAAACAAGCGAACAATGCCTCGAAGACCTGAAGTGGGACTTGAATGACAAAATGTGGAGTCAGAAAGCAATAGTTGCATTGGCTGAACTCCTAACTTTGCCGAGACCTTTGAAGTCTGCTGCTGCTTTTGTCCATCCAACTGAGCGGTTGTCACAGTTACCTCACAAAGGCCTCTTTATCTCCTCTCTCTCTCTCCATCCTCGGCCACCTCTAGCACTCCGTCTCGCCCCCTCTGCTGTTTTGTCCCCTCACAGCTTAGGATGCCGCGAGGACATTCATGTGACTCTGAAATTACAGATGGTGGGGGAGATGTGCACTGTGATTGTCCTTGTGTGTATGTGCCTTTTGCAAATGAGGAGATGCACAAGGACAGGCATCCAGATCGTCTCCCCTTCCCCCCCACACAGCAGTGACATCACCAGGTCCCAATTCCCCCGACAGCATGATGTCACTAGCGCTAAAATCCGACCAATCGCTGCGCCAGACAAAATGGCTCGCGAGTTCAGAGTTCACGGAGAGCAGGGCCGGGCAATAAAGAGGTGTTGACCGAGGGGAAGTACCCAAAATCCCTTCAGAGATGAACTTATAGGAATGTATTCATTGGGACTTCCTGCTCCCTCTGAGCTGCAGCTTATGCGGCCCCATAAGTGATTTTCATAAGACACACATGTATGAATGCAGAGGGATACATCTATTCTTTCTCTCTTCTTCTGAATATACTCAAGCAATCCCTTTCCAAAGATTAAAGGTAAACAAAATGAAGTGCATATTTTACGATTGTTCACACAGGTAATGACCTCTTCCTGGTGGCGGTGCACGAGCTGGGCCACGCCCTGGGTTTAGAGCACTCCAACAACCCGCTGGCCATCATGGCTCCCTTTTATCAATGGATGGAGACAGAGAACTTCCAGTTGCCCGAGGACGATCTGCGGGGCATACAGCAGATCTATGGTAGGCTGTTTAGTGTTTAATGGACGACGCTCTCCTTACAGTGTGTTGAATCACCAGGACGTGAGCTGGTGTTTCACACTTTCTGTAGTATAGAAACAGAACAACAACAAAAGTACCACTCTGTCAAAGACAAGTTTACCAATACCAATAGATTGACTTGATTTATCTTGGAATCCATTTTCAATTAGTGTTTTGAAAATATTAAAGCCATAGTGCGACATCTCTGGAAATTTTTGCTGAGCGTTAGATGAGAAAACTGATTACATTGTCATATCAGTTAAATATGGAGTTACAGGTGGGAGACGGTTAGCTTAGCATAAAGACTGAAAGCAGGGGATTTTTTTTTTTACCAATACCTCTAAAGCTCGCTAAGTAGCACATTTATTTCCTGCTCGTTTAATCTGTACCAAAAATAATATCAAACATATTGTGTAAATGTTTGGTTATGGTTACAGACTATCTCTCCATCTTCCTACACTTGTATTTTGAGTGTTATTCATTTGCCAAAAAGATAGACAAAGAGCTCAGAAACAAAGTAGCATTATTATAATTGTTTTGTTTTTTTATTCAGATTTTCTGTTGATTATCGTCATAATATACTTATTGTGAATTATTTTGGCCACGATAATCGTATAGTTAGTTTCCATTCTTTATGCTACGCTAAGCTAACCGTCTCCTCACTGTATCTGTCTGTATCCTAAAGATGTACTGTATATGAGAGTGGTATCAATCTTCTCAGCTAACTCCTGGCAAGAAAACAAACAGATGTATGTATATCATGTTGAACTATTCCTTCAAGCAGTTTTGACTCTTTGACACTAACTTTAAGTTTATTCCTATTCATACCCAGTTCTTTCATTCATGTAAATGAGGCAGTATTGAGCTTTAGTGTGCTCTTTTCATTCGCTCAGCCTTATATCTTGTCATTATGCATAATGTGATAAAACATGTCAACCCCCCTCCTGTCCGTTTGTCCATACAGGTCAACCAGGCGGCAGCCCCACCCAGGCCCTGCCCACCGTGACACCCCGTCGACCGGAGCCCAGGCCCCCTCAGACACCTCCTCGGCACCCTGACCGCCCCAGGACCACCGAAAGACCAGACCACTATGGACCCAATATCTGTGAAGGGAACTTTGACACGGTCGCTGTGCTCCGAGGAGAGATGTTCGTCTTCAAGGTAACTGGTTTGAGGATTTGAACTCCAGCCACGGACCTGCTAGCTTCTTAGTTATGAGCATACAGTACAACTTTAGAAGAGATGTGTTGACCTCCTCAGTGGTTTACTACATGTCCTTGCTTGGAAATGCAGTGGGCTTCCAGCAGAGGAGCTGTCCTGACAGCTTAACTGTGTCAATAAATTAGTTATCCCCTTTCTGTAGAACCAGTTTGAAACAAATGGCATGTGCACAGCCAACAAGGGGTCTGTTTTCAATCAGGTCCTGGAGGATTGTAAACCAACAGGGCCAATGTCTTTTATGAGGCGGAACACTGTTAAAAGGGTGGAGTGTGGTCAGGTGTTTGCATTAAAGAGCCCCTGGACCCAAACAAAACATTCATAAGCAGACCTATTAGCTGGCTTTTTACCTTTAGGAGGTATGTTTTAGAAAACTGTTTACCAGAACAAGTCATTTCGCTGTTGGCTGAAGCTGCTGTCAGCTGTTTCATATTATTTATTTAATCTTTAAGGTCTTCTGATATTATGCAACTCAGCCATGTGGTCACATGTCAGTCAATCAGCCACGACTGCTGTTAGAGGCAGGGCCGTCACAAAGTGTTATATTTTTTTAAAGTGTTGCTTTTTTCTTATTTCGTGACACTTGTTAGCAAGACACTGGAAGCGGAAGTCTTTGGGGGGAATTGTCCACCATATTAGTTTGACCGGCAAATGTCTCTGAATGCTTAGGAGGTGTGCTTTATTGCCTCTGCAGCTGAGAATTTCATGGTTTTTGAGGAATGTCGTGACATGAACTACTTGAAGGATAACTACACTGGTCTTTCTCCTGTGAGCCTAGTGTCTTAACTATCAACATGCTGTACGGTGCACACGGCTATTGAAGTTGACATTGATGCATACATCTGCTAAGTGTTTTCACCTATCCTGGAGGTAATGGTTCCTGGTCAGTGTCGATCAGGGACGGATTAGGAATGAAAAATGGCCCCGGACTTCCAGACTCGGACCGGACCACCGCAACCTTTCCCAGTGACCCAGGCCACATTTATGTAAACAAGATTACTGAACAACATTTAGAACAACAACTTAAGTTAAATAGATATAAATAAAACAAGGGAAACGTGTTGCTCTTAGGAGAAGACTGGCCAGAAGAAGCACATATTCGTACAAGGGCAACGACAACAAAGATGGAAGAATCTCTGGAACCATCTGACCAGTATGATATTAACATATTAGCTACATAATGTTTTGAGTCATGTATTAACATGGTAAATACCAGTAGTAGAATAATAATCATAATTGGATGATACAGTAGTTTAAGAAATACACAACCGACACTTCCTTGTGCAAGAAATATGGTCTACATTGGTGGGTTAGTCAACAATCATAACCATTTATGCATAACAATGAGTACAACACAAATCAAAACATTTTTTAATGTCCCGCCCCATCCAGTCTGTGGTTGGTCAGTTTACGAAAAGTGACACTTTTGACTTTGTGAAAAGTTGAACTTTTTGAAAGAATGTTTCAACAGAAATGCGCCAGATATTGCTACATAGCCAGCTAGCCAAATCCAAACCTTGCTTAGCTTATCCCCTATTGTCTTCTGTCTTAACGCTTGAGCTGCAAAACCTTAACTAACAAACTGTCAGTCAAGGTTTGGGAGGAGGATGTGGGCTTGTGCTTAATCAAAGTGGGCCGACGACTCATCTGTCTGGCTCTTGTTTTGTGTTTTGGCCAGTCCGACTATGGTGCCAATAATGCAAGACGTTGATGTGGCCATTCTCAACGTTGAGTTAACTGAAAGTTCAGCAGCGAACACAACTCCATTTCTTCCTGTGTGCTTTCTCCTCTTCGGGATCCGTGCGGTGATGCTCTATACATAGTGCAGCTCTACACAGATAAGTGAGGATGTGTTTCAGGGTCAGCGGAGGTGTCCAGTGTTGGCAGCGCTGACCGCTGAAGAGGTGTGCAGATATCAGACAGAGCTGGACATGGAACACCCAGGAAAGGAAAGGAAAATGAGATGCTGTCATGATATCTGACATTTCACGGGGAAGCGCAGCAGTAGGGATTCAAACAGCTGAAGATATCCAACAGCATTAATGAGCCACATCTTGAACTGGATCCCAGTAAGCCATCTGACGGGCCTGTGTCCAGAGTGAAATATAAAACTACTTTGAGCTGATGGAAAAAAGTGATGCAGGTGCTTCTGTTTGCATTAGTGTTATTGGAGAGTCGAACATAACAGAGCCCTGTCCCTCCAGACACACAGAGATCAGCCTATGAATATCTCCTATCTGACACTGACCAGTAGTAATCAGACTTGGCGTACAGCTGCCTGGACAAGTGCTGCACGTGGTCAAACAGTTATATCTGTGCTCTTGGGTTTCATCCCAGCCCGTAATGTCTATGTTCTTGGGTTTCATCCACAGTCTGGATAGCGTTAATCAGTTTCCATAATTAACTTTTTCCTAGCCCTCTGGTGGTTTTTAAACGGATAGAGATGACCCGTCGGCCCGTTGTTTCTTCATGTTCAGCCATCAAGCGCTGCGGCTCTATGCATTGCATTGTCGGTTTCCCTGCTTTGTTCCAGACTGAAACATCTCAACATCTATCTGTGGGACTGCCATGACATTTTGAACGGACATTCATAGTCCCCAGAGGATGCATCCTAGCAATGTTTGTGATCCCATGACTTTTTCCCAACTAGTGTCACCCAGCAAGTTTACATTTGTTGTTTTTTAGTGAAAAACTATTGGACGGATGGCCATGAACTTTGGTTCACACATTCATGGCCCCTTTCAGGATGAATTTTAATAACTTTGGTGCTGTTCGGTGTTTGCGGCAACGCGATGGAACGGCAACATCTCAGGTCAACATGTGTCCATATTCTCTGGAAATGCTCCAGCCTTGCGTCTTTTCTCACTTCTTGATAGTCCCGTGGTCAGAGAGTCAAAGGTGACATATGCACATCAGATATTATTGTCGCAAAATGTTGTCGGCAAGCATTGACTGCTATTAATACCTCTGTTTTATTGTCATTTAGCAGTGGACTTCATTTCTCACTGCGCTGTTCATATTCAAACTGTCCTGTAGATTTGCGATTCAGAAATTGCACTTATTAATGGTGGACACATGGCTCTTCTCTGCTCTCGCTCTGCATAGGCAGAACAACTTACTTAATGTCCTGTGTGAGAGTGGGAGCAATCCTTGGCACATCAGTACCACTCTCTCTTCTCCACAAAGCCCTGTCCATTATAAGAAGAAAGGGGCTGTCATTTCTTTTCTCCGCTGCTAGTATTTCTTCACAGCAGAGGGCTGGACGTAGAGACGGCCAGCAGAGCTCCATATTGAAACTCCCACACGGAGATGCACTCTGTTCTGCCGAGGACTAATATGGTCAACTTAGTCTTAATCTGGGCGCCGCAGAGGAGCGGCAGTCAGACCACACAAACGGAGGAGCGTGCGGCCTGTTCGGTTGGTTCGCGTCCCTCAGCTGCCTCCGTTCCGTTCTGCGCCGTCCTGTCTACCAGAGTGTCCTGTGTGAAGGACAAAACCGGCTGTGCTTGCCAGAAAGAAGCAGCACGGAGTGTTTCACAGTTACATTATCCAGGACAAGCAGGGCTACTGACTCACCACTTCTGAATGAGTGTGAGGGCTGCTGGTGTAAATCTGTCTGCTGGCGCGTGTGCGCAGCATAAAGAGTAGATATATGTGCTCTGTGCTCAGGTTCAAATGCACCACCAGTGATTTTCCTTGTTTCTTGCCACCGATGACAGTTCTTTTATGAAAGTTCTCTGGTATCCGGCTGTGATCAACAGAGGGAGGGCAATAAAGCCACCAGAGCGGAGACTTGACTATTATTAGCCTGCCGGGGATCCGCTGTTGTTAGTTTATTGTAGGTTCTGGTCTAGATATCCTGCAGGCCGCAGTTTGCTTGGCATGATGACCATCAAGTGTCGGACCTCAGAGAAATATACTTAGAATGAGATATGAAGCCATACAGTACGTGTTGAACCTGTTTGGGAATTTGGTTTACTTTGGCTTGGAGCCTCAGGAGTTAAGAAAGACAAAGAGAAACCAATGAGTCTTTCAAGCTGTATTCAACTGGCAATAAGAGACGACACACACTCAAACACACCGGTTCATTTCTTCCCCCTCAGGGCCGTTGGTTCTGGCGGGTGCGTAGGAACAGGGTTCTGGATAACTACCCCATGCCCATCGGTCACTTCTGGAGGGGTCTGCCCGGAGACATAGACGCTGCCTACGAGAGACACGACGGCAGGTTCGTCTTCTTTAAAGGTAAGCAAATGCTGATACACTACGCAAGTTTTAGTACTAAAGAAGATTTATGTAGTGTGCTGGGATTTATTGCAGCAAAGATCATCTGTACCTCGCTGTGTTTTAGATATAAAATGATAACTGGTCAGTACCATTACTTGTTGGCTTTTATACTGTAGGTCAGGGAGGAAGTGTCGAATCAAACGTTTAATATAGCAGAAACCTGCAATTATCATATTTTTTTTGAATTGTATAAAACAAATACCACAGTTTTTCTCAACTCTACACACAAATCTAAAAAACATTTACACAAAAGCTAAAACTCCACTAATCTCCTGCAAAATAAAACTCTGCATGCAAATCAATGCTGTCTTCTCAAAACGGTATTTTGTGCTCAATTGATACACACACACACACACCATCATATGCCATTTTTAAGAGCCAGTTGAACACTTATGTGCTCAATGGAAAACTCTACTGTGATTGGAAAACAATACAATGTAAAATTCTAGTATGAATTCTTTATCAGAGACTTGTGCTTTTTGTATATTCAGTGATACGTTCATGTGCAGTCTGTCATAAAATCATTTTATGCTGAAGTTTCTTCAAATTTGGCACAAACAGTCCATTTGGACTCAAGGATGAATTGATTATTTGGTGGTCAAAGGTCACTGTGACTTCACAAAACATGTTTTTGGCCATAACTCGATAATCCATATGCTCATTCATTTTTCACAAATATCTTAATATGATACAAATGATAACGCGATGACAGTTTGGACAGACATGGATGTAAATGACAACATGACTGGTAAATGGTAATTCTGGTTGTAGAATTCATACTCAAATACAGAAACACAAATATACTGTAATATAAACAAAAACATTTCTCCCCCAAAATACTGTATACATCCCAACAAACACAAAGGCAGATGTGTAAAGTATTCTACATACAGATCAATGTGCTGTAGACGACTATAGTTTGAATCTGGCCACAGCACTTCATCAACATCACAGTGAATGTTCCCCCAGGGCAATACTGTAAATACTGTGGAGTTAGAAATATACACTGGTCCCCTCTCTCTCTCTCTCTGTATATACAGTATATATATATATATATATATATATATATATATATATATATATATA